AAAATTCAAATTCCCTGAAGTTCATCATATATAATTTATTCTTTTTATGCTTCGCATTAGGAAGGAATATCTCTCAAGTTTTATTTATTTCTCTTAAATCTTACTAAATCATATATTAGACTTACAATTCTAGCAAAACAAATTGACAATTAAATAATAGTAAATATTTCATATGATTTTTATTTAAAAAACCTTAAAATTTTAATATATTGTATCTTATAATATACACTTTAAGACATAATAATTATTTAATAGTCTATTGTACAATAATAATTTTTTTATTACTAATTCTATACATTTCAAAATAGATTTTAAAAAATAAATATATATAAAAAAAAATATATTTTTTTAATAATCTTCTATATGTTTTTCTATATTATACTGTATTTAATAATCATATAAAGATAAAATATAACTCATTAGAATTGTCTCATTAAGACAAATTGAATGGTAATAAATTCATATCTTTAAGTGTAAAGCTTGTATAATTATGAGATAAAGTACTAAATAAATTAGCAGTATTTATTGACATTCATTACACATGACATTTTATGATATTTTTTTATATCTAGTTATTACAGAAAAATGAATTATAGTTCATTAAATTCAACTTATTGAGATGAATCTAATGATACTAAATTCATATCCCTAGACGTAAAACTCATGAAAGTATGAAATTATAAAAAAAATTGTTAGTTTTTTTTGCCATAACTGTATATGATACTCTTCCTAATAATAATAGCTAATCAATGAAAATATAAACTTTTTTTTCTCATTTATAAATGAATAATGAATAATTAATGTAAAGGTTATTTTAGATGGTAAAATAAATATGAATGTTCACTTTTGATTCTAATTTACATATTCAAAATGTTAACAGAAATTTTTAATTCAATATTTCTCATAAATCAATTGATATAATTATTCATCTTTGTTAAGCTTTATAGTAAATGAATTATCACTAAAAATAAAGAAATAAGGTTAACTTAAAACTTATTAAAATAGGAATACATATTCATGATGTAAATATTAAGTTCTATTATTTTTTTTATTACATATAATTGGTTAGAAAATGTAGCATAGTAATAAAATAGAAAGTATATGAAAAGTATTAAAAGAAATCATTTTATATAGAATTAGCTTATGTAATTAATAATTAATTATTTTGATTTCTTAAAAAATGATTTTCATTTATTAGATTCATTCATTCAAATAATCTCTAGATTTTGCTTTAAATTTTTATTTCTTTTATCTATTTTAGTTCAAATGTGTTATTTTAGTTTTAAAATTCTTTTTTATTATCTTTTCTTCTTTGCTTTTTTCGAACATATCTATCTTTATAATCAAGATAAGTCTAATAAAAACTTATTTAAAATAATGCTGTCATTGTACTTTATTTTTGAAATGAAAAATGTAATAGTAAAAAATATGTTTAAATAGGTGAGTAATAGGTATTATATAGAAATACATAGAAAAAATATATGTGAAATGAGATACATTAGTGTAGAAATTCAATTTCCATTCTAATTATAAAGATATTAACTTTAAAAGTATAAGAACCTTTCTTTTTAAACTTCAAGAAGCTCTTAGAACATTGCTTTAGTTATAATATAGCAATATTTTAACTGAATCTACATATAGAAATAGTAAAGCTTTATAGTTGAAATTTATTATTATACTTTTACACTTTACTAACAAAATACTTTTATATTTCACAAGATAAAATATATTATTTCTTCACTTACTTATTGATATTAATGATCACACTTTCTATAGTATAACTTTCTCTTGTTTGTGATTAAAATATCATAAAGAGAGAAAATAAATAAAACTGAATTTTGGCTTGAAATCTTATATATATCGTAATTTTTTGTAAAAAATCTTTTTTTAATACAAAAGATTTTAAAAAAAAATATAAAAAAAATAAAAGAAAAATAAAAAAGAACAGGAAAAGGAAGGAAGTGGAAAAAATAAAAAAAGAAAAGGGAAAGGAAGGAGGTAGAAAAAAATAAAAGACTAGGGAAAGAGAAGGTAAAAAAAGATAAAAAAGACCAGAAGAAGGTGAGAGTAGGAAAAAAAAAAAAATATATATATAAAAAAATAAAAAAAACTGAAAAGAGAAAAAATATAAAAAAAAATGAAAAATCAAGAAGTAAGGGAAGTAGAAGATATAGAAGATATAGTAAAAGTAAGAGATATAAAAGATATAGGAAAAGTAGAAGATAAGGAAAATAGGAAGATATAGAAGAAGGTTGCTTGAAATTTATTTCTTTTATAATGAAAATGATCAATATTTATAAATAATTATTCAAATAAAATTTGATAAATCAAATTTAGAAAGTAATACATTATGTAGTTTTACTATTGATTTTTTTAGTTCACATTATATCAAAATATATTGAAAATTTTAAATACGTAAGAATATTTGCTTTAACTGATAATATTATATTTCAACTATTTCTTTGATTTTAAAGAAGATTAATAATTAGTCGTAACTAAATTAGAAAACACATGCAATTTTTTAATTATAGGTAAATTGTATTATGATTTTGATTACCAAATCTTTATTTTAGAAAGCATAACATTTTCCCTTTTTTTAATATAATCAAAAAGTGTCAATTAAATTCAGATAAAATATATTATATATAATATATAAAAAAAAATTATTAGTCTTTAAAATTCTTTTTTTTTTGATATGATGATATATTATTTTAGTAAGTTAGAAAGCTATCAACAATATGCGTTAATTATACATGTAATTTACTAGAAAAAATCTGTTGAAATTAGAAGTTATAGAAAAAAATTGTATCACTATAAATATACATTAAAATTAAAATTATACTAGATAATGAGAATTGTTAAAGCATCTGAAGTATTCTATTACTTTTTATTTAACATTATATAAGAATCATCGCAAAAATTAAAAAATAATTTTCTTAAGGAAAATCTTAAAAATAAATGTTTTCCTTTTATTTAAAGTAAATTAATAATCAAAAGCATATGCATATGATATCTGTACTACACGTGATCTACTAAATAAGTATTATATTATAGTTGATCAAATGATCAATTATTTTATAAGTAATACTTTTAATTATAAATAAAATACTTAATTTTAATTGGTCTATTTTTTATAAAAATTTTAATTTAATATTAAAATATTAATATCACTTATATTATTATATACTGTATATTTAAATAATTAATTTTTATAAATATTTGAAGTACTATTTTAAATTATTCTGCAATTAAAAGTTAAATAATATTTGCTTTGGTAATTCTTTAGATTCATTATTTTCTATTAATTGAATTTTATCTTCTTAATCAATTTTAATTTTGAAATTTCTTTAGTAATTCTACAAATAATAAATTTTATATTGTTATTAATTTTAATAAATTCTAAATAAACAAATACTTATACTTTAGATATTGTAAATAATATTAATAATAAATATGACTATATGAAAAAGAAATGGATTTCATTAATATATAAAAATTAGATATTAATTGTAACATTTTACAATAATTTTGAAAATTATATTTTTCTAATAAATTAAATGGTAAATATTCTAAACTAAAGATCATTGGCAAAAATTATTTATTAAATTTATATTAAAATAATATGAAAGCTTATTTTTATTACATTAATTAAATTTTTATTATTTATTTTTTTAATATTATTTTTTAACTTTTATAAACAATTTTTTAAAAAAAATAGATATTTTATTAGTTATTTTTATTAAATCTTTTTTATAATAAGATACTTTTTGTAGTAATATATATATTTTAAAATACATTTTTATGACAAAAATAATTAATAGCATAAGTTACTCTTAAAAGTTATTTATGTATATCAGCCATTTATAACTAAATAATATAATTATATTATTTAGTCATAAACAGCTTAGATTAGGTTATTTAGTAATAAAATAATCTAGATATGACTAAATGATCTAAATATAACTAAATAATTTAAATATAACCAAATAATCTAAATATAACTAAATAATATAAAGTTAATAATCTAATTAAACAACCTAATTGTGATGATTTTTTATACCTATCTAATTTTCTTATTATAATTCTTACCTTTGAAATCTTAAATAATCTAATTATAACTATGACTAAATAACCTAAATATGCCCTTTTTATTATATGCTGTGTGTTAATAAATGCTTTCTGGTATAATTTATGCTGGTAGAGTTTCACAGCTGATTAGTTATTAAGTAGGTGGTAGTTTGTTTCAATTTTTAAGCCTTTTGATTGCTGATCAGGCATGTAATGCCATGCTATCCTTCTTGGTTACCAGTGTTAGGCCAACTAGTTTGAATACTAGTTCTATATTAAGAATTTGTACCTATTTAGTTGCCTTTTTAGATATTAAAATGTGGTAAAAAAAATATCATATCAAGTGGCGCAGTAAATTTGTGGTTAATTTTAGCTAACACTATATCATAATTTTAGCTAATCTTTTAACATGTGATTTGAGGATCCAGTTTGATACCAAGATGGTGACTTGATAGTGTTCTAGAACTATCATAGAAGTATTATAGAACTAGCAGTTTACCAGCTTGGATGTTAAGTTATTATATCCAAAGATCTGGTTGAAATTGTGAAATAATACTGGCTGAATTTATACTGCACCTTACTGCATCAGTCACATAACTTTTGCTGATCTACAGATCAGAGATGTAAATATATTGCTGATATTTGGTTAATTTATCTCTATAATAAATGAAATTAAAGACAAAACTATTCTATATAATCCCATTATGCGTCAAGTCATATATATTACTTATAATTTTAGATCAGTTTAAAATATATTGTCATTCTCTATTACTATTACTTACTTATATCTATTTACAGTTGATATTCATTTGTGAGAATTTTTTACCAAGAGGATTGCTACTTAATGCTTGTTCATCATTTTTATCACACTAAGTAAGATAATCCTGATATAAAGTAGCATAATATATTTGTTTGCAAAGAATATCTTTAGGCTATAATAAAACATAATCTATTATGAATCGTTTGATATTAGAATAAGGCATTTCGCTAGAGCTTACTATCTTATTTTGTTTTCCATTTTCCTGATAGCTAATTGCATTTTTAAACCTAGTATTTTCATTTCTAAGCCTATTAACCTTTTCTTTTAATGAATCGATCTCTAATTGCATATTTAAAATCTTGTAAGTTAGTGTAAATTCATATTATAAATTAGTGTTTTACTGTCTCAAAGAATAATTTTCAAAATCCATTATTGTGTATACTTTAGGATAATTATTTTTTATGTATCTTTAATAATAAAATATATTGCATTTTGTTTTATAAAAAATCATCAAAGAAGGTATCAGAAGTACTTTGTTAAGTTTTTTTGCTATCCCTATAAAAATTCTCTATCCTTATAAGAAAAATTCTTGAGAACGCTCTTAGGAATAATCTTAATATCATTTTTGGATTTCTTAACTTATTTTATTGAGTTCTTTACTACTTATTCTTAAGAACCCTATTAACACTAAGAAATTTTAAAGTTCTAGAAAAAAAATCAAAATTTTTCTATGGTATACCACTTGGGCAAATATAATCATATATATGGTTGATATAGTTGATATATAGTCGATGTATAATATATATAAAAAAAAATAAAAGGTAAAGAGTTTGAAAATTCATAGGACTTATAGGATTCTTAAGAACAAGTAGTAAATTGCCTTTCTTAAAGTTTTAAAATTGTTAAAGAAGATACTTTTAGTGTCCTTATTAAGTTTTTTTGTCATCTTTATAAATTTTTTATGAGATCAAATTTTCAATAAATCATTAGAGATAACTAATAGCATTAGGCATTTTCATTCTATTAAGAGCCTGCTTCAATACCTCTGGAGTCTGCCTGTTTTGAAGCATTTTAGCCAACTTCTTCTAGTGATAATTTGCTTTCAAATAGCATTTATTTACATGCAAATTACAAAACCTATATTTAGAGGCTGTTGGTCTTCCACATCCATCTTGTTTGCATAGAGGTCGCTGACGTCTTTTTCAGTAAATACTATACCCTTCTGGTTGCATATTTCTATTCTCATAAACTATCCCTTCATCAAAGGGATACTGGCAAATATATTTACCTTCTATTGATATTATTCTTCCTTCAGTCAATTAATCTTTTTGATGTCTATAATAATATTTATTTTTATTTTAAACTTTTTTGTTAAAGTATTATACCAAAACTCAGGGTATACTAGATAAAATATCTGAAATATGACCAATTTTGAACTTTCAGAATTCCTTAGCGTTCTTGCACTTTTTCACCTAAAGGCTAAAAAAGATAAAATAGAAGGATAAATAATTTGTTACTCTAATGGGAATTACTTAAATTGCATTCCAAGCTGTAATGATATAGTTACAAAAAATGATAAGGGATTATTTGCAATTCTTGAAGATACTTTATCTAAGCAATAAGATATTCTATTTATGGTTATTGATATAGAGGAATTTACTGAATTCATAAATGATAAGACACGTTATATATTACATCTCTACAGTCCACTTATTAATGGCCAGAAAGTAGTAGTATCAATTATAAAATTCGAGTATTCTTTGATATTCTAATACTAGATAAGGAATTTATAAATGTATTTGAGGTATAAAAAAGAGGCATCCTCTCTAAAATTATTTAAAATAGAGCATATAAAAGCTTTCTATTTCATGATTATCATATAAAAAAAGCCATATTTATGCATTTACGCATAGAGTTCCGAATGAGTCGAGTCGAGTCGAGTTTAAAGACCAACTCTATTCGACTCATTTTTTTCGAGTCGAGTCG